TCAGGCCTTGGGCCCTCAGAAAGGGAGCTAGCTAAGAGGCACTCTGCTAAAGCTCCCGAAGGGCAGCTCCAAGGGGGACACAACAGATTTCCCAGTTCTGAATTGTGACCCCTTTACCGTGTGAGGCTGCACCTGCCAGGTGGTGCAGGTGGGGCTTAAAGGAGTAGATTCCGGCTGCTCTGTCTGCTTGGGGTGACACCTGCTCTTGGGAGTGGAGAGAACTTATAACCCACTTCTATCTCTGCAACTCACTGCCAGAGGCCCTGATGGATGCCTCCAGGGCATTTGGCTCCAGCTGTCTGTTCTGAATTGCACTTCCTTCCCTGTGGGACTGTGCTTTGAAGGCAGTGCCAGCAGATTTAGGGAACCCAAATCCAGGCAGCCTTTTGTTGGGGGTGGTGTGGGTCCTCAGCTGGGTAGTTAGCAGCTTGTTTTCTAGTTTAGGGTGGTACATGTCTTCCCCTAGCTCTGCAGCTCCTGCACTGCCTGAGGCACTGACCAGGGCACCTTCCACAGCAGATGGTGCCTGCCTAACCCATGGGGAGGGGGGAAGATAGGCACCTGTTCCTAAGCCACTCAGTTCAATTTTTGCCTGAGACATCTATAGTGTCTCCAGAAAAAAAGTTCACCTCGGGTCCCTTTTGGGTACAGCCCAAAGTCCTTTATGCCCCATTTGAGCTTGGCAGGATAGAGTTATCAGCATTTGTTAAAGTGTTTGTGCACTTTCTCCAGTTGGTGCTGTAAAAGTAGAAGTGCTGGACCCTGGGAGATGATGTGTGAGGGTGGTGCCGGGTGGTGGCTCAGGTCTGGGACCTCCGAAGCCTACCTTCATGATCTCCAGCACTAGGCCACCCAAATCTCCTCCCTATAGCTTCCACGTGCCCCAAGTCTCCCTCCCTCTACCAGAGCCCAGGGTGAGTGCCTGAGAGCACGTCCCTGTGCATGATCACATGAGATTTAAGCAGACTCCCTCCTCTACCCAGTGGATAATCTCCCTGCTTATTTTTGCTGCCAAATGTTATGCAGGCTCTTCTTCCAGGCCCTGGTCTTCCGGTTTGGGGGTCCCAGTGTGGGATTGAGACCCTACTTTCCTCTGGGGGGGCTTTTGCAGCCATAATATTTCCCTGGCTTCACAGCTGCTGCCCCTGTTTGCTGAGACCAGCCCTTTCCATGTCTCTGCCCCTCTTACCAGTCTCTGTGTAACTTTTTTTTTTCACTCCTTGGATATAATACTCTAGTTCAGGTGACCTTCTGTTGTTAATTCAGGTTAACTGCTCTAAATTCCAGCTGGACCTCCAGTTCATTGCTGAGGTGTGTGCTGCTCCCAGCTATTCTGCCATCTTCCTTCCACCTCCCGTTGCCCATTTTTAAATAGGGTTGTTTGCTGTTGTTGAGTTGACCTTTTCAACTTTTTGTCATGTCACTCTCCCACCTGATTAGTATCCTACAGCATGCAGATTGTCTGTTTCTCAGAGACAAGTGCACTCTTTCCTATCTTTTACAGTTGCTGATCTGTTTGCCAGGAATGCTTTTTCCCGTTCCTCCCCCGACTGGCTCTTCATCCTTTAAGAACCAGCTATGCGCCCTGGCCGGTTTGGCTCAGCGGTTAGAGCGTTGGCCTGTGGTCTGGAGAGACCCGGGTTCGGTTCCCGCTAAGGGCACGTACTTCGGTTGCAGTTTGTCCCCGGCCCTGGTCGGTCGTGTGGGTGGCAGCCACTCGATGTGTCCCTTTCACGTCGATGTTTCTCTCTCTCTCTCTCCCTCCCACTCTATCTGTACAAAAATTGCAAAAATGTCCTCGGGTGAGGATAAAAAAAAAAAAATTATAAAAAAAAAAAGAACCAGCTATGTCCCTTCAGATAACCTTTCTTGACCACCCATCTAAAGTTATCTCCTTACTTAATTCATATCACTGTTTCTTTCCTTACTGGAACTTAATCACAATCTGCAATTATCTCATTTATTTACATATTTACTTGGAATTTACATTTACATGCAAGTGCCAGGGAGAGGCAGAGACACTTGCCTAACAGGGTCACTGCTACAGCCCAGGGCCCAGCATAGTACCTGGCACATAATCTGGGCTCAATATTTACTGAATGAATGAATCCCTACTAGAGGGGGCATCTAGGGAAAAAGCAAGGTGATGTGGCCCAAACTGGTGTTTAACCTGCCAAATCTAGGCTTGATGTCATAGAAAAGTTCACAAGAATTTTCTGGTGCTGAATTCCAGGCTTTAATTCCCGAGTCAGAAGCACAGTACTATTAAACTCATGGACATTGCTTTAGAGTTGCCCAGGAGAAATGGGGAAGCATTCTCCGTGTCCCCTCGGGAGAGACAGAGACCATGGTGTTTTGCTGTGGCCATCGTTGCCCTTCACCATATGCCTGAGTTAGCTCAGCTGAAGTCCTGTGCAGTTTGCAGACTACTTGGGACTCTGGGAATGACATGGGCTTTATCAGTCTCCTGGGTGCCAGATATGTCAATAAGAGTACCTTTAGTGGGTAGTCAAAAGATAAAAATGAACTTTCCATATCATAGGACACTAGAAAAATCAGAATTATTTTATTTAAAAATATTTTCAAAGGTTAATGCCATAGTGGAACAACCCAAGGATAGTTGATCCAAACTCTCAGGGAATTAGAAGAGCATCGGCCAATGCAAGCAGGTCTGTATAAATACACATCATTTGTAAATGAGCATAACAGAAGGTACACTGTCCCCAGAAAACCAGGCTGGGGGACAAAAGGGAGAAACAAAGAGAGGACTCTCCAGAGAGACAGGCACACCTATACCACTCTAAGCCCGAGACCCTAAGAGGGCCTCCAATGCCACCCACCCTACCGCATGTTTCTGGCCCTCTCCGAGCCTGCGGTATGGCTGGAGCCTGCGTTCATCAGCATCCTGGCCCAGCCACCCATGACTTGGCATCTCTTATGGACTCTGGTTCAGCTTAGCAAGGCTCAGAGAATGGCTCTGTTCTCCCCACCTTTCAGCAAGGACCAGGGAGGGAAGGGTCTAGGGCAAGTAGGATTATTTTCCTGAAAATATGATGAAAAGGAGTGATGAAGGGGGTTGATTCCAAAAAAAAGGATGGGTATTCATCCAGTGTGGCACTAGGGGGAACACAGAACAGTGTTTCACCTGAGACATACAGACTTGGTACAAGCAACGCCCAAGGCCAGACTCTAAACGTAATCCTACAACGTGGCATGGGGAGAGTATGGAGACCTCCAGTCCGAGCTTAGGAAGTTGTCACCTCCTGTCAGTCCCGCCAGTCCTCATTTGGGTTTGTCATAAACAGGACAGACAATTATGGCTCTGTAATAAATAATGTCCACTGGGACTTCTCCCTGATTAACCTCTCACGTGTCTGAAAAGGGGGAAACAGTGGTTATTTCTGACACCACTCACCCCATCACCAGCGGCTTTACTTGATGCTGCTGGCCTCCTCACTAAGGCCCTTAGAGAATCTCCAAAGTCACTGTCTTAGCAGAAGGGACTCCTGGGGAGAGCAGGCCAGGGTTCGGAGGCACAGAGAAAATTCAGACTGAGAAGATCTTGACAAAGAAGGAGGAACCTCTGAGGCAAAGCCTCTGTTTACCCTCTCCATCCCCTGCCTCTCTTGTCTCCAAAGGTATCAGACAGACCCCATTGGCTTGGTCCCTGCACTGTACCAGGCCCACTTTGGGCACCTCCACTTTATTCATGGAGAAGAAAGCCATGGAGTGGCTACAGGTGATACGAGTGAGCTGTGCTCTGTGGTGGCCCAACACCATCATGCCCAGCTACCCAGCCAAGCCTCCCGACAGGCTGCTATCGGCTGTGCCCAAGATCCAGGCAGTCAGGCAGAGAGTACAAAGCAGTTCCACAGATCAAAGCCACCACCCTTGTCAAACCTACTTTGGCATCTTGGAAATGTCTGCGTACACTGAGGGGAGATCTGGCACCGGTCTGGGACCAAAGGCCCTGCTCTACCTGTCCTGCCAGGAAGTGGCAACTGGGGATATGGAAGCTAGACCTCTGTTCTCCTTCACAGCCCTGCTGCTGTCCACTGCTCCAGTCGTGTCCCTGTGAGGGGCCAGAACAGAGCCTCAGCACAGAACATAAATGTTCCTTTCCCGAAGGAATGCTGGCCACAAGCCTCCCCTCCCCCTTCATAATGTGCTGCGCCTCCCTCCAGCCTGCCCTACGCCTGGCCGGCGGGCGGGCGGGCGGATCCAGCAGAGGAGTCCTGGGCGCCAGAGCACGAACTCTCAGTTCGTGGGGAGAGAGCAGAGCTCCCACTGGTGGTTTGGGTTCTGGCCTCTGTCCCACCCCTGGAGTGAGCCATTTGACAGTCAGAAAGCTGCATTCCCAGCATCGAAGCATGGGCTCTGTCCTTGGGGTGGCCCCTAGTGCTCTGCCTGTGTGCCAGACTGTTTCTAAGGAACAAGGCACATTTGTTTCCCCACTTAAGTGGGTGCTGAATTTTAGTGTACAGAACTCCTCAGCTGGTTCTAAAGATTTGGCTTTTTGTCAGAGTTCAAAAATTGTAGGAGCTTTGTAAACAGGTACTTCCAATCACTCATTGGAGGAGGGAGAAGAATTGGGGCACGAGGAGGAATCTGGATTATTTTCCTTCATAGTCAGTCCCAGCACAGCAGCAGCATCATAAACCTAAGAGAACCGTTGATGGCACCTTAGCATCCAAGGCATTCTTCTTGGAGGAGTGGGGCACAGGCCAAGTGGCTGTTACCTGCACACAGGAGATATGCCAGATCAGAGAAAGGGCTTAGAAGGTAGAGAGATGGGTCAGTGAAGCCTTCCCCCGCCCTCCAGAAAGTGGGTTGGGTTGGGATCTGCGTACCCTGCACACTCTGCTCAACATTGCTTGGGGCCATCAAACCAGCATGTCAAGGGTAGGGCCACTCCAGCCAGGGTAACAAGCAGTCTGGCTGTAGGTTTTGGTCCCTGTCCTTAGCCCTGAATCCCAGAGGCATTGGGAAGAGAAGGGGCATCACCTGTGCCCAGGGACTGGGCCATCCCAATTCAGGGAGCATAACTGCTGTTCCAGCCGGGAAATGCGGAATGCCAGATAGGACGAGGACATGACCAAGAAGCAGATCCTGGAGAAAAGGGGGCAAGAGGGGTTGAATCTCTTCTAGAAAGGGGGCACTTTTAGAGGCTCACCAAAAGTGGGAGTGGGACCAAGCTTCTCTTGCAACTGGAAGAATTAAAGAACCCTGTGCCCTGCAGCCATGTTCAAGCCTGGGCATCTTTCATCCCAAAGGCCACATGGGGGTCGTGAGACTCATCACCATGAAGGTGTCCTCAAAGCCCAGTAGGAGTTCTGGGTTCTTCAGCTGATCCCACCTTCTCTCTGACCAGCCACCTTGGTCCTGCACCTCCTCTGGGAGCCTGAGATCACCCACTGAGGCAGTGGGCCCCAGTCGGCAGAGCCAGAGGAAGGCGATGCGGTAAGGTGAGAGGAAGCCAGGAGCTGGCAGTTCATGAAACATCCCACCATGCTCACTACTGCTGGTCCTCAGGCAGAGTCACAGATGAGGCTGGGGTACCAGAACTGCCCTAATGGTGGGCAGCAGGAAGGCCATGGCTTCCCCCTAGTCTATCTGATGGCCCTCCCCAATTTTGCCAGCCTTCCCAATCCTGGGCAAATTTTCCTTTTCTCAACAGTTTTATATCTTGCTCCTCCACATTGCACAGCCTCAACTCTAAATTACAGGATTGTAAAAATAAGAACCAGAGATAACTTTGTCTCGCCACAGAAGGGCCTGCCTGCCATGTGACCCCCGGGAGCTTACAGTTGACTCAGAATCTTCCCCTTGCTCTGGACAGTGACCTCCCTACACACCCAGGCCCCTGCTCCAAACACCCAGACACCCGGATGGGTCTGCCCCCTCCCCCAATACAGTCACCTACAGCACGAAGAAGACCTTGAGGAGCCTGTAATTCCAGAGCCTAAGCTCTTCGTTGCTCCTGGGCTCCTCCTCCAGCATCTCTTCCTCACAGACAGCACTCTCTGCAATAAGGGAGCAGTTAGTCATCTTCCTGGGGCAGGCAGGACCCCAGCTCAGCGTGGGACATGCCCGTCTCCTGCATTCTCTGAAGCTGCTTGGACTCTTGACTTTCTCTTACGGATTTGGAGAAAGAAAGAAACAACTCTCAGAAACTCTGTTGGCTGTGATGATCCCTTTTTATAGAAGTGAAGGAGGAAAAGCCTGGTCTTTGCACGCTGTTGCCATGGACAAGGCCCCTGAACTCACCAGACCCTGCCGGTTTCCTGGAGGGGAAGAAGCTGTCCGGAGAGTCCATGGATGCCTGAGGGATACAAGGGATGCTGCCTGGGAGGGACAGGGACCTGGAAGCAGGGCACACTTTTCTCCACTTCATCTCAGGGATGAGGACTTCCTGCAGAGAAAGCAGGAGAAGCTGTTTCAACACAGCCCTTGAGATCTTACTTGCCCTGAGGTTCCCACACCAGCTTTATCAAAGCTTTCTCCATATATTACCAACATAGAGACCTAGCAAGGCATGAAGCAGGTACGCAGGAAGCAGGAAACCACTGCCATGGCAATTCTGTCTCTCCTATCTGCTTCCTTGCTGTGACCAGCTTCCCTTCCAGGAAACAATGTCTGTGAAGACTGCTAGTGTAGCCCGGCTGGTGCGGCTCAGTGGTTGAGCGTCGACCCATGCACCAAGAGGTTGCTGGTTTGATTCCCAGTCAGGGCACATGCCCAGGTTTGGGCCTGATCCCCGGCGGGGGCGGGGGGGGGGGGCATGCAGGAGGCAGCCAATCGATGTTCTCTCTCATTGATGTTTCCATCTCTCTCTCCCTCTCCCTTCCTCTCTCTCTAAAAATTAATAAAGAAAAAAAAAAAAAAGACTGCTAGTGTAGATCCAAGACATAAACCCACCCAAGTATGTGGTCAGCTCAGCTGAGTCTGAGAAAGCTCAGCACAACTTATCTTAGATGGGGCAAGTCGTGACTTCTAATCTGGGCTCTAAGCCTAAGCACGTCCCTGATCTTAGCAGTGGGCACTTAAGATCCCCGTCAACAAAAATGAGAACATCACCTTCTCTCTCCCTGCGTGGTACTGTGCACACTGCATGCTTGGCTCACTGCCAGAGTCACTGAAGGAGGCTTCAGAAACCCTGGGGCGATTCCCCCCCCCCCCCCCCCCGCATCCCTACTCTAGAAACTCAGCTCTGCTTACCCAGAACCCCAGCTGCCAAAGGAAACTGCTGGGACCTCCGCAAATCTAAAATGAGTCTGTCTGGGTTCTACATTAATAGCCTTTGAAGTTCTTCCCCAGAACTTATAGGCCCTCCTGATTTTGCTGAAAGAAAGAAGATGGGTCCCTGGCTCTGTGCCTGTACTGGTGTGAGATTCAACCGGGACAGTGTTCTGGGGGTTATTCTGCTCATAAAGTCGGTGGCTCTGCCCAGGACCCGGTGGCTCTGCCCAGGACCCGGTGGCTCTGCACGGCATGGAGAGTGGCAGGGCTAGGAGGCCTCCTGACAGCACGGCTGCTCGCTCTGGAGCCTGGTGCCTGGTGCCTTAGTTCTACGTTGTGGCCCCGGCCCGGGAGGCCCTGACGCCTTGGAGGCACAGGCAGGCTCAAGCCAGCAGCTTTTGCTCCCGGCCTCAGCTCTCACCAGGGACTCGCACTCAGGTTGCTCTGGAAATTCTCTCACACTCAGACTCTTCTTGCTGGAAGGCTGAGGAGAAAAGGGAACAGGGATTACTTGTCCATCTGGAACAGCCAAGGTCAGGCATGGGGAAGTGTCCCCTCCTTTCTGGATCAGATGGAGCCTAGCTCCCAGAGTTTGCAGGAGGTGCCCTATTTAATGCTGAAGCAGACAGGGGAGTCCAGGCAGCCTACTCTCCCATGCGGCTGCCCCTCCCCCTTCCTCACCACCAGCCAGAAAGAACTACAGGCATCCTGGGGAGCCTCCACGCTCCGGTCTGTACACTGAGGAAGCACAAGTGAGGGCATATACAGGGGACACGGAAGGGCCCACTGGCTTCAAAGAGACATGTTCACAAACACAGACACAGTCCAAGGGCTGCCTCTGATACTGAGCCTGAGCCTGTGACTCCCCTCACTGCCCCCGCCCTGTGCTGAAGAAATGGGCGAATCTCCCCAACAGCGTCACCCAAACCTCAGTCCAGGCCTGAGCAGCCTCACTGTCTAACTCCTGCCCCTGAGCTCCATACCTGTAGGTGAGTGCAGACCCTCCTCAGCATGTCATACACACTGTCCCGGGAGAGCAGTGACACAAAAACATACTGGGACATGGAAAGAAAACAAAGGGTTGGGGTGAGTAAAGACTTGAGTCAGGCTGTGGCTCCGGGGGCTGGGACAGGGAGACTGACGAGAGAGTGTGGTTCAGAGACTCACGGACCTTCTGGCTAGTGTTGGTGGTGATGGCCAGGCCATTGGGAAGAAGCCGTGCCATCTTGTGTTTTTTGATCATTTGCACGGACACCACGGGAATGACCACCTGAGGGAGGAGAGGAATGCTTCTCTCAGGACTCATTCCCAGGGACAGTTTCTTTGCTTCCAGCCGAGGGCCCCGCTCCCGCTCGCAGTGCACCAAGCCTGGGCCCCGGAGAAGCCTGGCCTACTGTGGGAGAGTTTGGGAGCCTTCCCCTTCTCACGCGGGTTCCCCCATGACAGTCACCCCCACCGTGCCCAGCCTTGGCAGCAGTGTCACTCCAGACTTCCACCCTCTCACGCAGGAGGCCGAGGATAGCTGCTCCATCCTCTAATAATGGAGTTCCCAGAGCTATTTCCTGACCACACCTGTGGTTCCCCCTGAGTGTGACAGCCCACTCCCATTCTGAAGGCATTTCAGAGGCAGAAAAATTTGGCTGTGAACTGTTCAGCCAACTCAGGCTAGATGTAGAGTCTAGGTTTGGGGCCCCTTTTTGGACCCCAGGTGGGATGCCTCACAGCTGTTCACCCCACCAGTGAGGGGCCTCACCAGGATGCAGGGGCCTCTCTCTTCTCTGGGCTGGGGCTGGGACTCACTGGATTATGACAGCCCTTACCACTCATTACTACCTTGATATCCTTGCCAAAGAGACTGGCATGGAAGCAGAGCCAGTTGGGGGAGATATAGAGCCGGCCCTGGAGAAGGAGGTCCCTCTGGAGGGCGCAGGAGCACACTGGGAAGTCACAGGAGAGAAGACCACGATGAACAAGGTCTGTCAGGAAGCCCCAGGCCCGGATCCTCACATTCAAGAATCCAGAGTCCAGCCTCAGAAACTGTCTTCCTCAGAACCCCACTTCCCGAACAACCTACCCTCCAGTACCCTGAGAGTCCTGACTGCCCCACCCCATCCCAGCAGACTGCTAGATGTTTTCTTTTTCTCAATCCATGCCCCAAAGAGCTGGGGCAGGTTTCTGCCCTCGCCCCCCAAGCCTAGACTCTCACTCCCTCAGCAGAACGCGCCCGGCCCGCCCTGCGGAGAGGACCCGATTGTGCGCATGCTCCCGAGAGGCCTGCGCAGCGAGATCCGTCACTGACAAGAGCAGAACAAAACTAAGATTCGGAAGCCCTGATATTTCTTCAAGAAAACTCATAAATTCAACTTCATGTCCCAAACCAGCCCAGTCTCTCACACTTTTGAAGAAAAAAGGACCAACCACATCCAAAGGGACAGCCTGTTCCCATTTCTGAAGGGTGAGGACAGTACCTGGGTGGGCCTCGGGCACGCCAGGGAGAGCTCACCTTTGAGAACCACCTCCTCCAAGGGGATGTCCTTGAACAGCTTGTGGTATTGCTGGTTGTATTTACTCAGCAGTGTCTGCAAACACAGGCCTGGGGCTGAGAAGTCCTGGGAGACCACGCACCAAAGGGGCCCTGCTCCAGCCACCAGGAAATAATGCCACGGGGCCCATGGGGACTGAACTCGAAGCTGCCAGGAAGTAGCCTATGGGTGTAGAGGGCTGAGTTCCAAGCACAGCTTGTCTCCTGGTCACGCTGGGTCCTGATAGGCAGCCTATGACTGGAGGGGGATGTACCACTCCCACCCAAGAGGGACAGCATTCAGGTTTCCTGGTGGCCAAGGAGCCAGCGGTCACTGAATTCAGGCAGCCCAGTTCCCTCCCTTGCTGGGCAGCAAGAAGTCAGCCTCTACCCACTTACCCCTTCTCGACTGTACTTCTTTATCTCTTCACCCTTCAAGCCTTCTGGCCAGTGCAGACTGCAAAGGAGACATTCCATTCCAGGGACAAGGAACCCTTGAGTCCTACCCATACATCCTTAGCCCTGGCTTCAAGCCAGCAGCTTGGGGCGGAGATTGGAGAGGGGTCCTTCTCTAGAGGCCACGGCACAGTGACAAGCACAGCAAGCAAAAAGCTCGACCTGGGGAGGGGCACTCCTTGAGACACAGTGTGGTCGCACAGAGGGGGCTCAGTGACCCCTTCTCGCAGCCAGCTGTGAGCAATGGCCTACCCCAGTAGATTTGCTCAGCCCGGGCTTAGCTCTGCCAGAGATGCTTAGGAGCCCTTCACCTTAGGCATCAAAAACCTTTTCCTATTTTTCTGGCCAACGGGTAAGCAGAGGAGTAGACCCAAGAATAAATGAGCAGGAGGCACAGGGATTAGGGCCAGTTTGGGGAGTGGGTGAGATGGAGTTGTCAGACTCACAGCTCCGGGGCCTGACCATGGGCCATGATCCCGGCAGGACTGCCTCCGAGCAGCCTCCCCCTGGTGGCCTGGAGCTCTGCAGTGAGGAGTTCAGCAGACTCACCTGACCTGACTGAGCCAAGGCTGGGGGAAATGGGGTGGTGCTGAAATGCAAACCTTTGTCCTAGCCAAGTTGGCCTGAGGACAGGTGGGCAGGGGAGGAGGCTGGTGGTAACCTGAGATGCCTGGACTCTGCTAGGTCCCAGTGCACTGGGTCAGGCCTGGGAGTGGGAGGAAGAGGCCCTGGGCAGCCTATGCTAGACCTAACATCTTGTTTCAGCCTTACAGTCCCATTTCTAACAGGTCACCTCCCCAGGGCTTCCCACCCCCAATCCATATGCATATCTGAATTGCGGGGGGCCCTCACCTGGATTCCGGGGGAGTCTGAACCCTCTCTAGTTTCTCTGTGCAGAACACAGGGCTCTTCAGAGAAGTCGTCTTCCCATGCATCTGTTTGTTGCTAAGAAGAAACAGGCCCACATCAGGAAGGGAGGCTTCATGGGGACACCTTTCCGTACTAGCTCCACCATCCCCGGGCAGCTGCTCTGCCCGCCGCACAGGACTGGCCCTGCTGTTCAGGGTGAGGCTGAGGACACTGCAGTCTGGAGGCAGCCGCTCAGGCAGGGCTTCTGGGCAGCTGGGTAGAGGTGGGAGTCTTACTAGTTGTCTTTCCTACAAGCCTGAAGTTCAGTTTATCACTGGGCCGGAGGAAAGTCAATCTACATCATAGGGCCGGGCAGAGGTAGGTGTCTGGCCCCACCCGTAAGAAGGCTCACTAGGAGGGAGAACTCTGAGACTTGCTCAAGGCTGAAAGAAAGTTTCCGAGGGGCCCAGCAGCATTACGTAAACTGTCAGGTTCTGGGAAGGACGCTGAGCACGAGGCCTTCTCAAAGCTGGGGAGCTGATGCAGCTGCTGGTGAGGGAGTGGACTTCAGTCAGCCCACAGGTAAGTGTGGGCCAGGAGGGGAGGGGCTGCCCCACACCAGGAAGTCACCACTGGTTTTCTTTGAACAGTCAGGATAGCTCAGCCTGAGAGCCAAACCATCTTAAAAGTGTCAAGAGTGAAGGCCCTGGAAGGAGGAGACACCCTCTTCCTGAGCAGAGGGAGCTCCTCATGGCCCTTGAACTTATGTCTCTGCCAAATGGCCCCAAACAACAGGGTTCCCCACTGTCTGCCCCTCTGGGGAAGACAGGCTTGAACTCAATAGACTGAGCAGTGAACCAGGCGCCGGCTGAGCGGGCCCAGGGGCTGACGGGAAGGGAGGGTGGCCAAGAAGCAGAGCCAAGGCAAGACAGTGCGGGGGTGGGCATGCGAACACAGCCCTGTGCAGTGGTCTCAGCCGGCACCGAGCTGGAGCCGAGGCCTGCGAGCCCCAGCACTGACTTGGGCAAGTCAGAGTTCCCTCCCTCAAGGACAGAGCTGCAGCCCAGCGTCATCCTGTACACCAAAAGGTTGTGGGTTTGATCCCAAGTCGGGGTGCATATGGGAGACAACTGATCAATGTTTCTCTCTCTCCTTTCCTCCCTCTCTCTATAAAAATCAATAAAAACATATCCTTGGGTGAGGATTTAAAAAACACACACAAAAAAACAGTTATGGACTCAGCAGAGATCTGCCAAGACTCTCAGAGATTATTTAGTCTGACCCCCTTTACCATACATACCATTGTACAAATTAGAAAAATGAGACCTAGCAGGGAACAGGCCGCACCCACCGTCACCGCCATGTGACCTGGTGACCTCTGCCTCAATCTTATGGAGAGTTTTGAAATACACATCAGCATGTATTTTCTAAATCTTGCAAAGTAACAGACTATACTAGTGATTTGACCCTGTGAGTCCCAAAGTTACCTGCTATCAAACTATACTACAAGCCATAGTAATCGAAAAAGCATGGTACTTACATAAAAACAGATATATAGATCAATGGAACAGAATAGAGAGCCCAGAAATAACCCCACACTTAATATTTGACAAAGGAACCTGGCCGGTGTGGCTCAGGGGTTGAGCATTGACCTGGTGCATTGACCGTGCACCAGGAGGTCCCAGGTTCGATTCCTGGTCAGGGCACATGCCTGGGTTGCAGGCTCAATCCCCAGTAGGGGGTGTGTGGAAGGCAGCCAATTGATGTCTTCCTCATCATGTATATTTCTATCTCTCTCTCTCTCTCCTTGATTCTTCTTTTCCTTCTTTTTTTAAATCCTTACCTGAGGATATTTTTCTATTTATCTTCAGGTAGAGAGAAAGGGAGAGAAAGAGAGAGAGACACACACACATCAACGTGAAAGGGACACATCGACTGGCTGTCTCCCATATGACCCACTCCAAGGCTGAGGATGAACCACAACTGAGGTACGTGCCCTTGGCTCGAATCAAACCTCGGACTCATTGGTCCGCAGGCCGGTGCTCTATCACTGAGCCAAATCAGCCAGGGCAATAAAAATATTTTAAAAGATATTTGACAAAGGAGGAAAGAACAAACATTGGGGTAAAAACAGTCTATTCAGTAAGTGGTGTTGGAAAAATTGGACAGATACATGCAAAAAGAAAAAAAAGAAAAGAAACTAAACCACCTTCTTACACTATATACAAGAACAAACTCTAAATGGATTAAAAACTTAAATGTAAGACTCACAACCATAAAACTCTTAGAAGAAAACACAGGCAGTGAAATCTCTGACATTTCTCTTAGCAATTTTTTGTTTTTCTGTTATATCTGCTTGGGCAAGGGACACAAAAGAAAAATATACACAAATGGAACTACATCAAACTAAAAAGTTTTTTTCTTTTTTCTTTCCATATTTTTGTTCAAATAGAGTGGAAGGGAGAGAGAGAGAGAGAGAGAGAGAGAGAGAGAGAGAGAAACATCGATGTAAAAGGGACACCTCGAGTGGTTGCCACCCGCACGACACCAACCAGGGCCAGGGACAAACTGCAACCGAAGTACATGCCCTTAGCGGGAACCGAACCTGGGTCTCTCTGGACTGCAGGCCGACGCTCTAACCACTGAGCCAAACCAGCCAGGGCAAACTAAAAAGTTTTTTGCACAGCAAAGAAAACCATCAACAAAATGAAAAGACAACCTATTAAATGGAAGATACTTACCAATGATGTATCTGATAAGCAGTTAATATACAAAAGTTATTAATATATATTTTTTAATCCTCACCCAAGAACATTTTCCCATTTTTTGTTCAGATAGAGCAGGAGGGAGGGGGAGAGAGAGGGGGAGAGAGAGAGAGAGAGAGAGAGAGAGAGAGAGAGAGAGAGAAACATCAATGTAAAAGGGACACGTCGAGTGGCTGCCACCCACATGACCCAACCAGGGCTGGGGACAAACTGCAACAGAGGTATGTGCCCTTAGTGGGAACCGAACCTGGGTCTCTCTGGACTGCAGGCCGACACTCTAACCGCTGAGCCAAACCAGACAGGTCTTTATCAATATTTTTATAAATATATGTTTTTATTGAGTTTTTAGAGAGAGGAAGGGAGAGGAAGAAAGATACAGAAATATTGATGAGAGAAACATCTATCCATTGGCTGCCTCCTGCTTGCCCCCCACTGGTGGTTGGGCTCACAACCTGGGCATATGCTCTGACTGGGAATCAAACCAGCAACCTCTTTGTGCATAAAACAGCACTCAACACTGAGCCACACTGGCTGGGCTAATATACAAAATTTATAAAGAACTCATACTACTCAAAGCAAACAATCCAATTAAAAAATGGGCAGAGGGCCCTAGCCAGTTTGGCCCAGTGGTTAGAGCATTGGCCCGCAAACTGAAGGGTCTCAGATTTTATTCCCAGTCAAGGGCATGTACCTGGGTTGCAGGTTTCATCTCTGGTCCTGGTTGGGGTTCTGTGGAGGCAACAAATCGATGTGTCTCTCTCACATCAATGTTTCTTTCCTTCCCTCCCTCCCTTTCTCCCTCCCTTCCATTCTGTCTAAAAATCAATGGAAAAATATTCTCAGGTGAGGATTAACAAAAACAACAAAATGGGCAGAAGACCTGTATAAACACTTCTCCAAAGAGGACATATAGATGGCCAACAGACATATGAAAAGATGCTCAACATCACTAATCATAAGAAAAATGCAAATTAAAACCACAATGAGATATCACCTCACACTTGTCAGAATGGCTATCATCAATAAATCAACAAATAACAAGTATTGATGAGGATGTGGAGAAAAGGGAACCCTTGTGCACTGCTGGTGGGAATGCAGACTGGTGCAGCCACTGTGGAAAGCAGTGTGGGGTTATCTCAAAAAGTTAAAAGTGGAACTGCCTTATGCACTCACAATTCCACTTCTGGGAATACATTTGAAGAAACCCAAAACACGAATTCAAAAGAATACATGCATCCCTATGTTCAATGCAGCATTTTTTACAGTAGCCAAGATATGGAAGCAACCCAAGTACCCATCAATAGACAAATGGACAAAGAAGAGATGGTACATATATGCAATGGAATATTACTCGGCCATAAAAAAGAATGAAATCGTGCCCTAGAGCAGTAGTTCTCAACCTGTGGGTTGTGACCCCTTTGGGGATCTAATGACCCTTTCACAGGGGTCGCTTAAGACATAACAGTAGCAAAATTATAGTTATGAAGTAGCAACAAAAATAATTTTATGGTTGGGGGTCATATGAGGAACTGTATTAAAGGGTTGCGGCATCTGGAAGGTTGAGAACCACTGCCCTAGAGGGTATTATGCTAAGTGAAATAAGACAGTCAGAGAAAGACAAATACCATATGATTTCACTTATATTGGAATCTAAAGAACAAAATACACCCCAGCCGGTTTGGCTCAGCAGTTAGACCGTTAGCCCGCGGACTGATGAGCTGTGGGTTCAATTCTGGTTAAGGGCACGTAACCTCAGTTGTATTTCATCCCCGGCCGTGGTTGGGGTCATGTGAGGCAATCAGTTAATGTGTTTCTCTCACATCGATGTTTTTCTCTCCATCCCACTCTATCTTAACAAAAATGGAAAAATGTCCTCAGGTGAGGATTAAAAAAACAAACAAAATGGAAACAGAGTCATAGACACAGAAAGCAGCCTGGTGGCTGCCAGAAGGGATTGGGGAACTGGGTAAAAAGGATGAAGGGGTTAAGAAGTAGAAATTGGTAGTTACAGAATAGTCATGGGAGTAAAGTAAGCATAGGGAATACATAGTTAATAATGTTGTAATAAGTGTGTGTGGTGCCAGGTGGGCACTGGAAATATCAGGGAGACACTTTGTAAAGTATATGATTGTCTAACCACTATACTATATACCTAAAACTATACAAAACAATATCAATATTAAACTTTAATTGAAAAAAATCAGGGTTTCTCATATTTATATTTATTTTTTCAATCAAAGCCACAAAAAATATCATTATTTCCCTGAGGGGGATGGAGCAGGGGAGGCCCAATATTTTGGATATTAAAAGAGTAGAGCCCTGGCCAGTTTG